CTCCCCACCCCTCCCACCACCACTAGGTCGAGTCGAGGAGGAGGAGGAGGAGGAAGAGGAGGAGGAGGAGGGATGAGGCGCGCGGCGGAGGGGAAATGGCTGCCGAAAACAAGCCGGAAGGTAAGAGAGGAATAACGGTTTTTATTTGAGGTGGCAGAGTCCTGATATTCGGGGTTCAGACGAGGCGATGAAGGGACGGAGGCACCGGGGAGGGAGAGTGATAACGGCGGGGGCTTTCCCTCTCCTCCGGCCCGTCCCGAAAAACACGGACGCTGGTGCTGAAGCAGCGACTGTGTTGGAAGCTCGGTTAACCGACAGCAAATAAATAACAGGAGGAGAGTTGTCCTGTCGGTGGGCTCCGAGTGAGTCGGGATGGGGTAGTTTTTCACCGTCCGACGCTTGCCATCGTCTCCCCAGAGTAGCCTGGCCGGTTTATGAGCGCTTTTTACGGCGTTTAGCATAAAAAGGGACGTGGATGAGAGAGGATGAGAGAGGTTCACGCTGAAGGAATTCAGATGCTTTCTCTTTCTCTATGTGTGTGTGTGTGTGTGTGTGTTTATCTGTTTCTCTTTAAGCATAAAATAGAGCACCGAATCGCACATTTTCCTCTCCCGACAAAGCAACGCAACCTTCCCCCGACCGGCTGTGTATTTATTCAGTCACAATCTGATGTCGGTGTGTGTGTTTATGTTTGTGTTCATTCGCTGTTGATGTGTGCTTATGGTTGCTAAGGCACTGAAGGTGAGAATCTGACTGCATCTAGGTTGGGGGGGAGGAGGAGGAGGAGGAGGGAGGAGGGGATGGTGGTGGTGGTGGTGGTGGAGGGGGGGAGGCAGCACCGGGTATGTGTGTCAGTTTTAGGTCATATCATGTATGAATCCGGCTTAATTTTTTTTTTTTTTTTTTTTTTTTTACTCCCGTAACTAAACTCTTGGGGTCGTTATCATCACACACAGCCACCATTTCATTCAGGCTGCTATTCATTCATTCATGAATTATTTAAGGTTGGCAATATTATCTCCATTGCAACTCACGCGTTAAGGAAGACTTTATCCTTTACTCAGCGTGTTTGACATTTGTTTAGAAACACCCCGTGGCTGTTAGTCTGTTCCAACTCATTTTCCTTGCCTCTGTAAAGTGCTGCTGATGCCACTAAGGGGTTAATTTTTTTTTCCTAAAGAAAAAAAAAAGCCAACAAACACAACAGTCTTGTTATAAAAGTAGACGGCACAGTTCCCCAGCAACTTCAGAGCTAAAATGGCAATAAAAATTTGCCATGCGCCATCAGTTTTATCTCTGGACTATCCTTAACTGATTGATATTCCTCATCAAAGTCATAATGGAAATGACAGGGACAGCCTTTTAGGCTCTCTCCGCTAGGGAGCAATGCTGAGCAAGATTTCTCCAAGGGGCAATTTTTGGCTAATGTGTAGTATCATACATTTTTGAGGGCGCATATCAGGCCTACAGCTCTTAAAGTTAGACACACACATACACGCGTGCAAGTGAGCATGCAGTGTGTTGCCAGAGGCAAAGGGAAGGCCGTGGGTTGAGAGTCCCGTTGCGTGAAAAGACTAGAACTGGAGATGAGACAGAAGGCCCATGGGCAGATCAGCAAGCACTGAACCACATAAATATAAAACCATCCACCCTGCCCATACTGTACTGTACCTACACACTCTCACGCAAATGGACTCACACATTCACAGTGTGAGGGATTTATTTTTTTTCTTGCCCGGTGCCCGCTCAGTGTTATGTGTAGAAGGGATGTAATAATTTACAAGCCTCGGCCGTGCTGAATGAAAGCCAAATGAATCGCGGCGGCGGCGACGGCAGGAGACAGCTATCAACTCTTTCCATTCCCTGGCAGATGTGTGTGGCGCCCGAACAGCAGAGTACACCAGTGGGCACGAGAGCAACATCCACCATATAGCCTGGAAGACCATCTCCCTCTGCGCTGGTTGGTCTACTTTGTATCATAGCAACAGTGGTCAGGGAAACAGAGAAATGATGAGAGAGAAGAGAAACTAAAGCTGGGTACAAGTTAGTCACACACACGGAGGCAGTGTATCTACTGTGGCCAATCGATCAGGGGACACAATGGATGCAAGTTAGTGGATCAGAAAATGGATCAGCCCACATGCATATCACTTGGAGTTTTGTTTCTGGGCTTTAGAGAAGAAAGAACGAGGTGAGGTGTGTGACTGCCAAGGAAACCAAAGTCTGGACTGTCCCCTAAATATGTCCCTTTGTTTTTTTTTTGTTTTTTGTTTTTTTTTTCTCTCTCTTTCTGTATTTGTAGGACTGAAGAAGATAAGAAATCCAGAGCGAATGGTCAGGATTGCTGTTGGTTACACAGGACACACCCCTCCCAAGAGTGACGACACTGACGCCAACAGTAAGAGACACACAAACACTCTTCACACAGTTTGCATGTCTGTGTGTGTGTGAGGGTGTTTAAGTGCCACGCGCACATTTGTCTGTAGCGCAGGGTGACTCTGGGAGCAAGTATAAAAGCCTTCTGGCAGAATGATGTGATGCGGGAACTGAGGTCTCCTTCTCATCTGCTCTGTAACAGATCACACTTACACATACATACACACAAACACACACACACATATATACGCAAACACACACTGTATCTCTGTGTGTCTCTGCTGAGACGTCATTCCAATTCAGCTCTGTTACACATCATGTTTATTCATGCGTGCCAGTACAGTATTAGTGGGCACACACTCAAACACTAATGCACATAGCCATACAGAAGGCAGGGCTTACTTTGGCTATCAGCAGTTTATTGTCATACCTAATCTGTACACATGGCATTATGTATCTATAATCCTCAATGGGCCTTGTTAAACTAGAAGTGAGATGGAGTGTGTAATCTGGGGTCGGTGCGTGGTCTGGTATGTGTGCGAGTGTGTGGTGGGGCATGTGTGTGATTGCCGTGGTGTGTTAGAGGGACTATAAAGGCAATGATTGCTTTCATTGGTTATTGATTCCAGAGGACGTGGCGCAGATGCATGTCTGTGTCTCTGCCCGTGTGTGTGTGTGTGTGTGTGTGTGTGTGCGCGTTAGGGGGGGACAAATTGGAGGAAAATAAACAGATGTGAGGAGGAGCAGACGGACGTGGTGTTTAGTGAGGGGTTGGGAGTGTATGAGGTGGCGTTGGATATGTTAAAACGCCATCCCTTCAAACACCCCCCGACCATGAGCCCTCATTCATTTCAAAAAGGAGCAGATGGCCTCATACCTGCAGCAGATCCTGTTAAAAAGGCGCACCGTTGGAATAGAATAGAATAGAAAAGAATAGAATAGAGTGTTCTGTTCGGGACGACTGTTCAATATAAGCTGAGGCTTCCCGAGCCTATCCCTGTCTCCTATCTGTTCTCACGTCCCAGCTGGAGGATTACTGGAGGAAAAGTTTATCAGCAGAATGATAAAATTAGCATGCACACCCATCTCTCGATCCCCCTCCTCCGCCTCCCCCCCCTGCTCTCCCTCTTTCTCTCGTCTCTCCCTCCCTCTTCCTGCACTCTCGCTCATCCCATGCTATGCTCACCCACCACCCCCCTATCTTCTCCCTGCCCTGGCTCTCCCTCCTGCCCTCCCACCCCCCCTCCCTCCCATCCTTCTATCTAGCTGCTGTGCAATGAGCCTTTCTTTCTGTCACATTAATTTCATCCCGAAAAGGGGGGAAAATGTGAAAATTTCCCCTGACGCCTCCTAATATCAGTAGGGGGAGAGTTAAGAGTTGCATTTGGAGCGTTTTTCTCTCTCTTTACTGAGGAGAGTTTTATAATTAACTGACAGCCATCTCACAAGGGCATTGGCTTGTTTCTGTGTTAAATATGGAGATGACAGTTTTATGAGGTAAAATATTCATCAGTTTGAGGCCGCTCTTCTGTGTGATTCCAGTCTAAATTATGGCATTTGATAGGGTACCAAAGCAATGTTTCACTTTGGTCGAACATTCTCACTTTTTAGCTCACATACCTCAATATGACTTAATGAGCCATCAGTTTCACATTAGCATTCAGGCTTTGTCACACTTTTGGACTCTTTTTTGCTAGATTAGCAAGTGAGTGAGTGATCTGTGTACAGCCAGGATGTGCGGCTTACTGCTGAGGGACTCGCATGAAAACAATGCAGGTAGTGAAATAGTTTTATTATTTCAAATACAAATGGAAATGTGAACAGCGGCAAATTTCCATATTTAGATATGTTTTCCTTGTGTCCCAGGATGGTTCATTTTCCTGGGTAACCAGGAACAAAAGGGAAGTTTTTGCCCCATGTCACACCACAGTACAGCTCCACCGAGAGTCATTTGGAACAGATGGAAAAGACGATTGCAACGGAACTCAGGCTGATTTTTTTTTTTCTTTAAAACAGGGACGCATTCTCCGGTTCAGGATTGTTAGAAATACAAGATACAACTCTTTGGGGGTGTAAGAGCTCATCAGCATTCAACAATTTTGCAAAGTTGGTCGTCCGTTCCTCGTCAGTGGGGAGAGCGAGTGTGAGGGTAGGTTAAGATGACGGTTGTGTCCATGAAGGTGTGCTTTGAAAGGGATTTCGGCACCAAGGTCACTGGTGAAAAAACGCCACTCTGGGACAAATACTGTGATGTGTGTTCTTTGATCGGCATGCACTGTGTCTGTGTGTGTGTGTGTGTGTGTGCGTGTGTGTGTGCGTGTGTGTGTGCGTGTGTGTGCGCGCTCGTATGTATGAGCATGCATATGTGTGCCTGTGCGGGTGTTTGTGTGTGCGTGTGCCTGCGTATGTGCAACGGGCTTGTTTGATGTGGTGGTTCTGGTACATTTCAAAGGCGAGGCTCTGATGAGAATTCTTCAGAACAGCAGGGGAAGGGAGGGGGTTATAGCCAGGAGGGGTGGGGTTTAAACGCTGATTGGCATTCATAGCAGAGAGGCTGGAGTGCTGCTAAAAAAGAAATTAGGCTTTAACTAAGCTGCACCATTCAGCTGTTTAACTAAGCTGCTGCACAGTTCAGCTGTTTGAAATTCTGTCTTCTCAGGCCTTCTATTAATAAATGCATAATTGATTAGGGGGAGCATACGTGCCTGAACACACTTCCTACTGACACAAACACACACATGCTCAGATACCTACTTACATGAGCACACACACTCTTAGACCCCACTCATGTCCTGCTACTGCGCTTGTATCCCTTCATGTCTTTGTGTTACCTTCTTCCGTCTCTTGTCCTTGCAAAATTCTTATTTTCTCTCTCTCTCTCTCTTTCTCTTTCTCCTTAAGTTTCTTTTTTTCTTCATTAACTGTGTCTCTCTGGCTCATTGTCTCCCTGCCTCTCTCTGTCTCCCACTCTGACCCTCCCACCTTACCTATCTCTCTCTTCTTTTTTTTTTTTTTTCTCGCTCTGTCATGTGCCCTCAGGTAGAGTATAATTCCTATCCTCCCAGGGGAGTCATGAATGGACGCCCTCTACTCAAATGCTTATCAATAACCTTTGAGTGCTTGCTCTCTTTGACTTCTGAGCAGAACACCCGTCGGGCTCGCAAACGGGGGGTCTATCTTTGTGCCTACGCATTGGTGAGGTGGTATTTTCCTAAGGCATGGTGGATTTTTTTTTTCTTTTTTACCTTACCTGCACCTATTTGTTATTTTGGTGATTCTCCATCCACAGCAGTGGGAGGAGAGGCACAGCCGGGGTTGTTTCGCTGTTAGTTCAGCAACACCAAACAGTTTTGCTGTCAAGAATGACTGCATCTTTATCATGAGGCTCTCTTGTAGCCCAAACATCAATTCTTCTACCAGGTCATACAATATAATATTATTACATATATCAGCACTGCGTCTTTTGGCGATTGCTACTAAAGACTTAAAGACGTAGTATGCAGTTTTCTTTTTTTTTGTTTTTCTGGGGGGTTTGTGTCAAAAATCCCGTACTCACCTTCAGCATATTTGAATTCAATTGGTCTGAGAGGAAACCAGACTTCTGCACCTCTGTTTTCAGGCTTTTGAAAATATAGCTTATGATGGGAGATTTTAACCAATCACAGTGCTTTTCACCAGTCAGATGAGATAGTAAAACCAGCAATAAAATTCGTGGTGAGTGCAGGATGTGGTGGTGCAGTGAGTTAGACGTGGGACTTTCAGTCGGGAGGTGGAGGTCGAGTCCCGTGTGGAGCAACGAATGAATGTTGACTTTTAGCTTGAAGTGCGTTCTTGTCTGGTGGGAGAGGTTCAGAGCAGAGAGGGGAGAGCTGCAGGAGGAGGGCTGTATGTTTTCAAATTCTGATGTTTTTCTTATTGTTTCCTTCTGATTTCAGCTTTGCGTCTTTCAGAAAGAGTCACAATTATATGTTACATTTATTTAAATAAATATATGCCGAGCAATTTCCTAAAGAAGTGGAGTCCTATAGTTTTGTTTTGTTTTTTAACCAAATATTATCCAAATTTAGCTTTACATCTTTAAGAATGAGTCCAAATTGTATTTTTCCATTTAGGGAAAAAATATATTGAGCAATTCCTAAAGAAACTAAGTCATACGGTTTATTTTTTTGTTCTGTTTTTGTTTTTCCCCCCTCTTACCCAATATTACTCAGTCAGTAGAAAACAGTGCATATTTTCAGCTGCGGATTTGGTGTGTGGCTTTTTCCTGCAGCAGAATAGTGTTTGTGTTGTTGCCTTAAAACAAACTACAACTGCTTGTGTTGAGTGTAATGAAGGAACATGTCAACATGCGCAATTGTGAGGTTCACCTGTGTGTTTTTAAAGTTTTTGGACAGCATAAAAAGTCTATGTAGCGCTCGTGTCACATAGAGCCAGAGCATTCTCTAGCATTGATTCAGCACTGTACAGAATGGTCTGACTGCAGCTCATTATCATTACGCTGTAGGAGGAAAACACAAGACATATTCGTACTTCTTTAAACCAATCGCAGTTGTCTTGGGTGATACCAGCCCAGGATGTTGGTGTCACGTCACAATATTAACAGGGAACATTATTTTGGTGGAACATTTGCATGCAGGGATGTGAGTACTGTCATTAAAATGGCTAATTCGGGGGTGCATGATCTAAACCCTCTACAAAACTTTACATTTTCAGTGTGGTAGGTCAGCAATTTCCCTGAGGTTTCCACCAAGGGGATCAATAAAGTTCTATTCTATTCTATTCTATTCTATTCTATTCTATTCTATTCTATTCTACTGCCCAGAGTTTGTTGTTGTTGTTGTTTGCTGTCGTGAAGGGAATTTTGAAAATGGTATCACACAGATAGTAGAGGGGAAGGAGAAATCTGTGTGAACATGTGCGCGGCCAATGGCAAGCGTATATCCGCAATCTTGACTTTGCATACGCGGGCAATACTCGCTAGTAATACTTCAGCTCATTCACAACGCTGCAATTCAGCTATTACCCAAAAATAAGAGGAGACAGCACATCAGTCCAGTTTTAGCTGCTCTGCTCTGGCTTCTTGTTACATTTAGAATTAATTTAAGATGCTTCTCCTCAAATACAAAGCCCTCAACAGGCAAGCTACATTGCCAACTCCCTTGTTAACTATGTGCCTTCAGGAACGTTGGAAATATCACCTGCTGGATTTTTTGGAAGTTCACAGCAACAGCTGAAAGAAAAGCAGTTTTTGTCAGTTACGCCCCAAAGCCATACAACACACTGCCCATAGATATCAGGGAAGCCAGCTCACTAAATACTTTTAAAGGAAAGCTAAAAGCCTTTCTCTTTCTTTTAGCTTTTAGGTAGTTTGGACTTTCATACTGTTCTTTTTAGCACTTTGCTTTGCACTTTTGGTAAACTCTTGTATTTTACTTGATCATCTTTTGTATAGATATAGATATATATATATATATATGTGTGTGTATATATATATATATATATATATATATATATATATATATATATATATATATATATATATATTCAGAGGGTTTTGTTTTCCATCTTTTGTTATGCATTCTGTGTATTTGCATTTTTAAATTTATATTATTATTATTCAGTAGGTTTGATTTCCACTCTTATGTTACAATAATTATGGCCTTTCATTCTTGTTTTTATGATCATTCTGTGTCCACTTTGATGGGAAGCAATCACTGCTTGTTTTTTTTTTTTTTGGGGGGGGGGGTGGTTTCACTGTAAAGTGCTTTGAGCTGCATTCCTTTTATATGAAGTGCTGTACAATTAAAGGTTATTATTGTTTGTATTGTTATTAGTGAGGGGGTTGTAGTCAGGAGGGGTGGCTGAACTCAGTGATAATAAGAAAAAATATAGAATATTTTGAGATTCACTGAGGAAACAGTGCCAAGGAAGTTGAAGTTATGGGATTTTTACCAACCTGTGCTGTGTCTCATGGTCCCCCAGGACTTTTAGTATGTCCAGAAACTTCCAATTTAAACTTCTATTTCAACATCACGCTTAGCACTTAGCCTGGGACTCTACAGCACCTGTGCAAGATTTTTAGTTTCCTCACAGGATGAGCTATTATGGGTTTCTGCACTCCATTACCAAACTGTTTGTATAACACTGTGGGGAGAGCATTGCTTTTAAAGGGGATAAGTAATGCCCATGTGATTGGCCATGATTGTTACCAACCCCAAAAGCACTGATAATGTATGATAATGGAGTCTTCTTAATCCAAATCTGTTTGAGGGTGGGTCCCAGGTGCACCTCCACCTGCTGTCCAAACGTAGCTGTGTTGCCACTCCCTCTGCACTCCACTCCCTCTCCTTGTTCATACCCTGATTTACACTATGATCAGACTTACTTACTTGTGAATCACACATAACAATATAAGATATGAGACACACCTACATACAAACGACAATGAAACATTAAGCATAGTTGGTATGCAATTTAACGGCCTTCTCCTATTACATTTATTAGAAATAACAAACTTTCAGCTTTATATAACTTTTTGCCGCCATGACAAAAACAAAAAATTTGTTACACTAGTTTATTAAAAATGCTACACTATAAAAGTTTGTTATGACTTTGTTCAGCCAGAACTGAGTTTTGGTGTTCTCCACTCACAGTGTTTAAGTTTCTGGTGTGAAATCTCTTTCCTCTTCTTGCTCATCCCTCATTTATCTTACTTTATCACTATCCCCCCGCCCCTTCTTCCCCCCTCCAGATGAGCCAGGCCAGTTGAAGATCTACCTTCCTAAGAAGCTGCTAGAGTGTCTGCCCAAATGTTCCTCTCTGCCCAAGGAGCGCCATCGCTGGAACACCAACGAGGTGAGAATGAGACACACTCAAGAGGGAAATATCCGTGACAGTGAGATGAACAGAGTTTCTTTTTTTTCTTTTGCTGGTGACTCATCTCTAACTAATGTCACATTGAGAGATGAAGAGGAAGCAAACAAACACAATAGCAGTGTTCCATTATGGGACCCTAAAACTGTGACACTAGGAAATAAAAAGGAAAAAAAAAAAAAAAGAGAGAGAGAGAGAGAGCAACCCGAGCTCACAGCCAAAATCCCACCGACTATACATTCCATTTGGCATGTTGCTGTCTATTTTCCTTTGTAATCCAAACAACTCTGGGTTAAGGCATAGGAATCAGGGGCTCCTGGGTCTGAAACAACACAGCTTAGAGGCTGAGAAACAAGAAATGAGGCTACAGATTGAATGTTTCCACTGCTGGGTGTTACTGGGTTCAGAAAAAACGATGGTCAGTGGGATAAAGATTGTTATCTGAACCTAACATTGTTGCTATGCAACCAAAGGAAGATGTTAAATCTGTGGCACATTTCAGTTCCTATAGTTGCTTTTTCTGTCCTGTGTTACAAGTGAAAATGACGCTTAAGTTTCAGCGTGTGATGTTGTTCCCCAAAGCAAGAAATGAGGTAAACGTGAAAAGCGTCCTGTGTGAGGTGTGAGCAAAACCAGTAACCATACACCCGAAGAATTTCTGATCATAGAAGCGAGTTGAGTAACTTAAAGGCTTTTTCTGGTTGACTCTGTGTTAACCAAATTTTATAATATGAAGTTTTTCCACACACAGGCTCATGAGCTATTTCCCTGCTCTGGGCCAAAATTAGCATCATATTTACAGACTGAACCACAGATAACACAAGCTCTGCTGCTCGATAAGCATTACAGTGTAAAATGGGGGCAAATTAGCTTGGGACAACTCTTTACTCAGGGCCAAGGATCACCCTGAACTAAACATTTTGGGTGTGAAAAGCTTTTCAGAGTTGCATGTTGTTCCAGACTTAAGCTGTTAGCTTAGGAAAGTGTTTGATGGGTGGAAATGGATGCAGGCATTTATCGTCAATAGCTCCTTGTTTATGCATTGCACAGCTCTCCACTGGTGGTTTGCTCCATCCATTGTGATGTGGTTGGCCTCTGCTGAGACATTTTCTCCATGTGCAGGCTGTGCACTCCATTATGGATGTGTGTTTGTGTGTTTGTGTTATTGATTACCAAGTCCAGCATTATTATGCAATGCAAAGCTGATTTGGCCTGTGGTTTTTCTCTCAGGAAAGTCATTACATTTTTCATGCAATCCATCTCAATGAAGGTCATACTGGGAGTTAAGCACGATGCCTACTGAACAGTGTGTTCACATGAATAGGCAGAGTGTGTGTCTTGTGTCTTGTGTGTGCGTGTGTCAGTGTTTGCGTGTGATTGAGGAAAAACGTGACCGCTGCTGGTTAGGGACTTCCACACATGAGCCTAACCAAGAGTAACTTACCATCTACTCCTCTCTATCTCCATCTATCTCTACCCCCCCCCTCCAACTACCAGGCTCAGTTCAGGGGGAGGTTGGGTGTCCCTCAGCGGATTCCTTCAAAGCTCCTCTTCCACCCAGGCATAAAGTTTTCCGCATACTTAAACACTCCATTGTGTCTGCTGCTCCTCTTGCTGGGTGCTTTCTTAGTGGGAGACATGTGCATGCTCACCATGTGTACAGTGCATGTATGCATTTCAGGCTGCGTATATGTGTTTCTGCCTACGTGTGTGTGTGTGTGTTAGCAATATGCAGAAGCCCAGATTATTGTGATCGATTATTTTGTAGGTGCTGCAAGAAAAGAATTGATTTGTTGTTTGTTGATCTTTATCTGTCTGTATTGCAGACATTGTAAGAAGTACACTCGTTTTTATCTGCAGCGTAGGAAATTGAAATCATCGCCGTCATCAAATCTTATATGCATGTAGGATTTCGTTGTCCACCGTAGATTGTAGTGTAAGACATTTTTAGATGTGGGATTTCCAGACCAGTCAGCTGTCAGCTGTCAAGTCAGCTGTCAGATTTTAAGTTTTCAACTTGTTTATTCAGTTGCATACCCTCAATGTGTGTGTGTTTGTGTACGTGTGTAAAATGCTGTTCTGTTGTAGATGCTGCTCATGAATTGCGGTGATGTGTTATCAACAGATGCTGTCTTGAAAATACTCAGTGATAATTCAGTGTGCAGAAGGACTGAACAATTAATCGATTTCAAATTGAAATTGCAATTTAAAACAATGCAATTAGCAAACTGTGAAGGCTGCAATTTAAGATAAATGCTATGCAGCATGTCTGACCCAGGGTTGAAACTGTTGTTTCAATGATCCTCCTTGTGTGACAGTTGTGCATTTGATGGTATCTCATGTGCTCAATTCTCCATCACATGTGGTGAATATTCAACTGGAAGTCCATCCATCCATCCATTATCTATACACCGCTTAATCCTCACTAGGGTCGTGGGGGGGCTGGAGTCTATCCCAGCTGACTTAGGGTGAAGGCAGGGGACACCCTGGACAGGTCGCCAGTCTATCACAAGGCTACACTTAGAGACAGACAACCAAGCACACTCACATTCACACCTACGGACAATTTAGAATCACCGGTTAACCTCAACATGTTTTTGGACTGTGTGGGAGGAAGCCGGAGAACCTGGAGAGAACCCACGCTGCACAGGGAGAACATGGAGACTCCACGCAGAAAGATCCTGGTGTCCTCACCGGGACACGAACCGGCTGCGAGGCAACAGTGGTAACAACTGCGCCACCTTGCAGCCCCAGCTGGAAGTTGACTTAAAAAATCTCTTTACAAATATATAATTGCAATATCTGTCAGGATAGACACAATTAGATATTTTCCCCAAAATCATTCAGCTCTATTGTGTAGATGGATTTATGTGTTTGCATGTGCATGTATCCTTTGGTGGATTTCTATACAATTTTTCAGTTCCGTATGCTTGTACATAAGCAAATCAAGAATCTGTTTTGTGTTTCCTCATCCTCACTGTCTGGGTTTTTGGGTTTGTACATGCTATTTATGAATGCCATGTAGAATTAGGATTATCTTTTGTGTATGTGTGTATGTGTGTATACGCGCGTCCACGTGTGTGTGAATAAGAAGAGTGTGATAGATAAAGAGATTAACATTCTGTGTTTGGATGAGAATGGCGCTGATTAAGTCAGGCCCAATCTTTACAAGTCTTCATCTGATATGTCCTTAGTCTCACCTTTTTCTTGGCATGTGTATGTCTGTGCAAGGGTGCGCGTGTGTGTGTGTGTGTATGTGTGTTTTCTTTGCATGTGTGCGCGATTGCATATGATCTTCTGATCTCTGTTTTGTCACACATGGCTCCCCCTGACACCTTGGTCTCCCACGAGCACTGAGCTGTGACCCCATACATTTTTACCCCATCCACTCCTCCTCCTCCTCCCCCCTCTCTGTCCTTTCCTCTCCTCCTTCCCTTCTCTCTCTTCCCCACCCCTCTCTCTCTCTCTCTCTCTCTCTCTCTCACTCTCTCTCTCTTTTGTGTATCTACTGATGTGTGAAATTATTCTGGGATGGAGGGATGGATTCCTCCCTGAAGGGCTGAGCGGAGGCGTGAGCCTTTTGTTCAATAATAGATTGGGGTTGTATGTGTATCTGTCCATGGTAATAGACTATGGACTAGTTTTAGATAACAAACCACACTCAGGTGGACAGAATGATGGTGGAGCCTGTGTTATCCATCCATCTGGAATTACTTGTTGTTTGGTTTCAGCAAATTCTTCGGAGCACTTTAATAAGGAGGCTATCAAACTTTTTCAAATGTAGACTTCAGAGTCTGGTCCTGGGACTCAAGCTCATGAAAAGATATGATTACTCTTATGGGGACCCTTGACACCCTGGCTCACATTTTAAGAAGCCAGACTGAGTTGAATACTGAGTAAAATTTTTCTCTTGAAAGCTTAAATTCAAACTATAAAACATGCACACAGACACACACACGCAGTGCAAACGTGCACGTCAATGTGTGGTCTAATGTGCATTTTAAAGGCTTCTACTTCAGAGCATCTCCCCCACTATGATTCAAATGATGCAACTGTCAAACGGGTTGGTACAGACTTCAGTACATCACACAGGCGACAGTCGTCTGTGCCACAATACGTCTGCATGTGACTTTGCTCCACATGTCGCTCAACTGTTTGGGGTGAGGGGGAAGGCAAATGCGAGAAGCTGGTAGTATTTTGTTATTAGCGATATGAAATAATATTCTATGAAACATGCAGTGTTTTATTGCGGCGCTCTGTTCTCATCTTGCAGTGATATATTGGTGGCTGTAAGGTGCGAAGGCTGACTAGTTGGCAGTTCACACACGCTCATGTCTGGCCGTGCTGCTGCATGACACTAACATGATTGCTTGAATGAGAAGTGGATCAAAAATCATATACATTTTAGGCTACTGCCCCATCTGCCTCCTGTGTGTGTGCGTGCGTGCACGTGTGCATCAAGGGTAGGTGTTGCCATGGTAACAGATTGTGTGCATGCGTGCGAGTGTATTTTGCGCTAATGGTATGATCGATGGTGCATGTGTGACACGGACCCCATTCATGATTGTGCAGTGCACTGAAGGTGATAAGCGAGACACGGCAATCGGTGTGTCTGCTTGCAAATCATGTATGACAGACCGTCTCCCCCAAAAAACTGTTAATGAAGGACAAAAGCTCTGCATCATAGGTAAAAAAAAAAAGCACCTATCACATTCACCTGTACGTGCTGTGGCATCTCGCCTTGTGGGAGCTACTTTTTCGAGACCAAACAAAGCTCTGTGTGAGTGTGTCTGGGTATGTGTGCATTTTTAATTTATTATTCATGTCATTACTGTTGTTTGTGAGCCATTAAACAGATACATTGAATTAAATATGCATACGCAGTATTCCTCCATTTGCGTGGAGATATTTCCCCATTTTTCTATGTAGGTAAAACACGAGGTATTAGTGTCTGGAAAGGAAGTTACACAGGGGGGATTACG